GAAAGGATTATTTTTTGCGGTGTAAATTATACTATTATACACAGTACGTAGTTTGAGCCTGACATAGTACCTGGATCATTAGCTTGTTGTTCGACGATGTGCCAGAAACTGGGCAGCTGTGTGTAGTCCTCGTGCAGCTTTGTGGTCAACATTCTAACCTGCGGCACGGGCATCCTGTTGATCAGCTGGTAAATGGCCATAGTTTGTTCGCACGGACTCCACGTGCTGAAGAACTGCTGCAACACACCAGCGAGGTGCGCGTATGTCTGGCTAACTGGTGGCGGGTATGGAGGAGGCAGAGACGGCTGCTGCTGCTGCTGCTGTTGCTGAGAGAAGGGCGACGGTCGAACGGTGGTAGCGGAGGCTAAGGCGGCGGCGGTAGTGGCGTGGGCTGCAGAAGAAGGACAATCGCAGGAGCCGCACGAAGAAGAACTCAGAGACGGAGATGGTGATCCGGCGACACTGTCCCCGGGAACGGGGCCACCTCCTACCGCGGCTCGAGGTGACGACAAAGACGACGAGGATGACGAGGAAGACGACGAGGACGACGACTCAGTTGCGATATTGAACGCCAAGTCGGCCAGCGACATGGTCGGCACATGACAAGCCATCGGCATTCCTAACATTCATCGGCGGCACGCACAGCGCAAATCGAACGGAGCAGCGGTCTGAAACGACAACAGAAAACAATAAAGAGGTAAAATAGTTGAAAAATGGGGAGGAACAACCCCAAACAAGACAAGAAGAACCAACGGCAACCACATTTCATAAAAATCCACCCTCAAGGCTGTCTGGTCCGGGATTGCCAGAGCTTAAGATAGTAATGTTCGTCAAATCCCAGAGATGTAACCGACTACGTTTCCTGCTGTGGGGAAGAGCCGGGCTACATCGAGAGCCAATCATCACCGGAGAGGGCTACGAACAAACAGACAACAGAGATGATCAACACTAACCTTTGCTGATCCGACGAGAACAATGCCTGAATATCCGCAGCCGCACCAACGGCGAAAGTCACAAAACGGATGACAAGAATGAATGATCAAATGATCACGGAGGACGGCGATTTCTCTTTTCAGTTCAACAGTACACTCGACACAGCAGAACCTGAAACCAGACACACGATACAGACGAACAGTAAATTATGGACTGCTGCGGAGCAGAAACGCGTCGAAGAAACGGCCGAACAGGCGGATATGCACACATACACACTTACAAAGATTTGCATAGAGTTCTTTCGACTTTCTCCACGACAACAGCCGCAAGGAGAAGAAGAAAAAAGTGGTATTCGACTGCTCACTGTCATTAAGTTAATGCAACCTTCACTCCAGAGAGATGATGTTTCAAGCAATATGCACGTGGAGTGGATGTTTTCCCATTAGAAGTGGATAAAAAGATGGCAAGGACCTGCTCAGATGAGCAGATTTACCTCAAGAGACGTAGAGAAAGGAGGAAAGGGAAGATTTGTATCCGTAATATAATGGAAAATCTCCAAACGTTTCGCTGTAAAACAGAATTCGTCAGTCTTCGCTCATGATGCACATGTCATAACATAACGCATCCACGACCACGGTTTGGTACAAGCCAAAAGTGACTAGCTTATACATTCCATATATTTAGCTGTGTGGCAGAGAGTCTCTAGTTACTTCCACAAATATCATTATTCATTTATGTATTTCAAGAGAAGGAAGGCGGGAGGCCCAATCAGACTTTAAATTCGCCCGCAATCTTCTGATTGTTAATAATGCCTTCGACCGGATGGTTTACCCTGACGCAAAGAACATTTTCGAAGAAATTCTTCATTACTGCACCGTATTTCTTCTCGGAATTAAATCACTTTTCAGTCATGGCTAAACGGCCACAAGAAGTATAAAAGAGGAGAGACTGCTGCATTAACAAATACAATCGAAGCTACGGCAGGCTGACTCTTGGCAGAAGTTGTAGGTTGACCCCCGGACAGAAGTGTCGCCGTTGGCTTTGCATCAATTTATAACAGTCTAAGGTTTAGACAGGTTTGCCACTCAGACACGACACAATAAAGGGAGTCGCTATGAGCCTCACCAAGCCGACAGATGAGGCAGCAGGAAGCTAGCTGCCTGTGAGCCGGTGTAGGCAGCGACATCGGCAAAGAGACAGCAGCAGGTGCGCGCGAAATACGTACAAAAAGGCCCGCATGTGGCGCCACCAAGACGCATCTCTCAAATGTGC